ATAAAGTTATTTACTTTGATGTAATTTCTAAATATTACTTGTACGTTTTCATAATTTTTATCTTTTACCATATTTTTTCTAGTTTTTTGAGACTTAGAATTTTGAATGGTCCAATAAAAATTATAGTCCATAGATATTAGTAACTCTAATAAAGCTCAATTCAAAATCAAATCAATACTAATGCTAACAAAATAAATTAATTCAACACTAAGAATGACAATAATTTTGAATATTTGTTATTTTTTGGTAATCAAGACGATTTAATATTAATTATATAATATGCATCGATACAACAGGTTCAACCACATTACTTGTAGCATTACATACTAAGTTGAGTATTGGATTTATACATCCATTAGCATTACAAAAGATATTTGAATTACTAGCAAAAGGAGTTCCACCCTTGTCTGCTTCTAGGCTATCAAGAACAAACATTGGGGAACTGACCATTCTTCAAAACGAAACCCGTTCATCATCTTCCCCTTCTTTGTTAACAAGTCGGTTGTCCTGTTTTGTAGGAGTAGCTCCCTGCATTCAGAAACAATGTTGGAGTAAGCATTAGAGCTGGAGTTTAATATATTAATTACCTCCATTGAGTCTGTAGATATCTCCAAATCTGTGATATTGTTTCTCTTGGCTAGATGCAGACCATGAAGGAGTGTTGTAATTTCGATGCCACTAGCAGAGTAAGTGTTTATTTTTGAGATGTATCCCGCTACCCAATTTCCTTGCTTATCTCTAATTATGCAGCCTCTGCCCCCTTCTCCAGTATTGGTATTAAAAGAGCCATTTATATTAAACTTAAATTGTCACGCGCGCGGGGGAGGTGGGGGGGGGGTCCAATAGGCCTCGAGGGGTCTTCTATCCCTTGGGGGTTTTGTGGTTGAGTACCCTTGGGCTAGATGGAGAAACTCTAGGCTTCTGACTTTAGGGACCAAGGGGATTTCGCTGGACGTATTTTGGTAGAGGTTATTGTTTCTGTTTAGCCATATATTCCAGATGAAGAAGGGGAAGGTTGTAGCCCATTCAATATTCATGACGCTAGCGTTAATGTAGGTTTACTCATAGAGCCAGTTGGGACTATCCTTAGCTATGATCATGGATACTGAGTCGTAGAAATTAAGACTTGTCCAGTTCTTATTATCTATGTCACAATCCAAGAAGATATGTTTACTCGTTTCGATTTCTCCACAAATAGTGCAGTTCGGGTTAAAAATAATTCATATGGAGTAAAGGTATTGTCCGGTAGGGAGTCTATTATGGGAGGCTAGCCAAAGGAAGAACTTAATTTTGTTGGGGCATGTAAGTTTCCAGAGCCAGTTGTACTTAATATTTCTATCAAAATCACTTTTATGACTCTTAAGGACTCTATAGGTGGAACTTGTGGAGAAGGTTCCATTATCACTATGTTCCCAGATTATTTTATCTTGAGGGGAGGAGTTTTGGGGGGATATGGACATCCTTAATAAGATTCTGGATATCAGTAGAGAGTTCAAAAGATAATTCGTTGAAAGACCATTTGTTATCCTTGATTAGGTCGCTGATATTGAGGTTTTGGTCTATTAAACTTAGAGGGCCCGCTACTAGGGTATAGAGGGCTTCAGTATTTATGATTCATTTGTCAAACCAAAAGGATATTTTGTCTCCCTTGCCAAGGTCCCATCTACTATTTTTCAAACATATGCCCCACCCATACATGATGGTTTTCCAGATAGGAGTGGAGCATTTTAAATGCTTGTGAGAAGTGTGGAGGCCATAGTTTCTAGTGAATTTCTTGGTTTGAGAGATGTCCATAGGGAACGGTTCTGACTGTACATATGCCAAGTTGATTTGATAAGTAGAGCATTGTTCTTAGCTGCACACTGTTGGAGTCCCAGTCTTCATGTGCTCTTATCTCTAGTAGTAGTGTCCCAATTAACTAGGTGGAGCTTTCTTTTGACCATTGTGGTACCCCAAAGAAAATTACATTGTATTTGGTCAATCCGTTTAGTAACAGCTACATGTAGCTTAGTAGTTTGCATGACGTGATTGTATATACTACTAAGGGTGGACTTAATAGGGGAGAGAGACCTGACATATTAAGAAATTTTGTCTTCCATCTAGCTAGTCGATTTTGCATATTATCCATGATGAATTGGAAATTGTTCGCGTAGGGTATTTTTTATGGAAAATCGGGAAGCCTAAGTATTTTCCAAAGGAGTGAGTGGCTTTGATTTTCAAGGAGTTGGAAATCCTGGAACGAATAAAGTCATTGCAATTATTTGAGAAAAGGATTTTTCATTTGGAGTTATTAATACTTTGTTCAGACTAGGAGCAAAAACATATCATGATCCTTAAAATGGTGCGACTATTTTCCTTAATTGCTTAAGCTATTAGGACAAGGTCGTCAACAAAAAAGAGATGGGATAGGTGAGGGCCATGTAGAGAGATTTTTATGGGGGTACATTTCGTTTGCATTACAGCCTTATTAATTTGGTGGGAAAGGACTTCCATACATAGGATTAATAGATAAGGTGATAGGGGATCACCTTGGCGTAGACCCCTCGAGGTATTAAAAAAATTTGTACGAGATCTATTGCAAAGAATGGTTTTCTGGTTTGTTATTATACATGACATGATGAGGTTACTGATGTTGGTGGGGAAGATAAAATATTGAAGGGTGTATCTAATGAAGGACCATTCGATTTTGTCGAAGGCGTTCTCTAGATCGATTTTGGCTATCATATTTCCAGTTTTCCCTTTCATTCGCCTGTAGTGGTTGATTATCTTATGTATGATGATGGCATTGTCAAGGCCTATCTATTTTGGAGAAAGATAGTTTGGCATGGCCCTATGAATTTAGTCATTAAAGGTCACAATCTATAGGAAATTATTTTAGTAGCAATCTTATAGCTAAGATTACAAAGGCTAATAAGGCGGAAGTTCTTAAGGGAAATAGCATTCTTGCATTTGGGTATTAAGCAAACATAGGTTGTTTTTGCTATCTTCAGGAATGCATTCATTAACGAAAGCATTCTTGCAGAAAGAGATAACGGATGGACCTACAATATGCCGATATTTTTGATAGAATAGGGGTGAAGTCCGTCTGGCCCAGTAGCTTTAAAGGGCTTAAAAGAGTGGATTGTTCTTCTTACCTCTTTCTCGGAGGGTAGGGGACTTAATAAATCCTTCTCTGAGTCGGAGAGGGTTACAGATCCTAGAAAATATTGGTATTGCTTGGATTTCGACTGACCCGATTTAAAGAGTGAAAATTAGTAGGATTCTATATGGTTTAGGATTTGTGTTGGGTCTTCGATCCGTGTATTGTCTTTTGTTGAAGGCTGTGGATCCTATTTCTTCTTCTCCTAATAAGGATGGTGGAGTGGACATATTTGGTGTTAGCATCCTCTTCGTTGAGCTAGTCAATCCTAGACTTAAGTTTCCACAAGTCCTCTTCTTGTTTGAGAATACTGTTGTAATCCTTGACGAGGTCTTGCTCTAGATCTAGTAGGAAGGATCTACTCGGATAGTTTGGGGAGTTATAGATACCCTTTATCCTTTTAAGGGTGATTTTTTTTTCCTTTTGAAGATATTGCAGAAAGTTTCTTTATTCCAGATGGAAATGACATTTTCAAACTAGGAAGTAGCTTTTATTAGGTTTTGAGAGGTATTCCAGGCATTCTCGATTAGAGGAGGGAGGTCGGGGTGAGAACACCAAATTGTTTCGAACCTAAAGATTTTTGTAGTGGGGGAGTCTTTTTCGGAAGAGGGATACCATAGTAGAACAGTGCTCGAAGTGTGTTTTTGGAAGATGACGTACTAGGGCCTCACGAAAGGATAAAAGATAATCATTATTAGCGAAAAAACGGTCAAGTCTTTCAAAAATTAGGTTGTCTTTATTAGTGAATCTTTTATTAGCCCAAGTATATTTATTGCCCTTAAACCCCAAATCTATGAATTCACAGTGGTTGACTATGGACCAGAAATCTTTAGTGCGCGAACGATTTAGCATGTTACCACCAAATTTATCCTTGTTATTTAGAAGGTCGTTAAAGTCTCCTCATATTAGCCATTTCCCGAAGAAATTATCCATGATGGATCATAGGTTCTCTCAGAGGACTTTTTCTCAAATTCATGTAGCAACTAGCATAAATACAACTAAGTAACCAATAATCATCATGTGTACTTACCTTGATCATGTCATGTATTTCCTGACCAGTGGTGGCGATTTCATCAAGTTCGAGTAGATTATCATCCCATAAGACAACAATGTCACCCGAGTTTCCCATTGCAGGAACTTCGAAAGGAAGTTATCAAGCAAGACTTGATGGTTTTGCATTTTGGTTTCAAAGAGTGCGACTAAGGGGGGTTTGTGCCAATCAAGGAGAGCCCTAAAGTTTCTTTTGAATTCGGGATTGTTGGCACCTCTACAATTCCATATTGTTAGGTTCATTGATCTGTTCAAGTTCGATGGGTTTATCAGGGGAGTCATCCTTAATGTCTGTGGCTGGGCATTCAGATTGTTTATCATTGTAGGGTTCATGATTAGCACATATTTCCCTACTTCTAGGTTGAAGGGGTTTTTATATCTATCAAACTTTTAAAGAGATTCTGCGGACAAATAAGGATGTATTTTTTTTTGAATCTCTCTTTGTATATCATTATTCTTATTTCTTTTAGGGCCTGTTTGAAAGGACACAATGGAATTGGGAATTGGTGT